CAGGGGACCAGTGTCGTTGAGTGAGGCCTTCTTCTGAGTCACAGACTTCTAGTTTGTATCCTCTTGTTGTAGAAGGGGCCAGGGGGCTCTGTAGAGCCCCTTATGTAAAAGATCATTCACTAAGCCCATTCCTAAAGGCTCCACCCTCATGGCCTGAACACCCACAAAGGTCCCACCTCCTCATACCATTGCTTTGAGGATTAGGATTTCAACATAGATATCTTGGAGAGGACAGTAACATTCATACCATAACAAGTGGTTATTTGGTAACATTTCAGATATTTATTGATGTATTTAATTGTGATTTTAAAAAATAATATGTCAGTACATTACATGTACAATAAAAATAATAAAAAGTAACAGTATAATAGTTAACATTAACATATATAGAGCAACGTATTGTTTTAAACTCTTCTAAATTATTTTAAAATAATGTATCTGTCAGTATATTACTTGTATAATAAAAATAATGAATAAAAGAAAAACCTGGCACTATAATATTAGCTCCTATTAGGTAATAGTTGAGTCACATATTATCTCCTGTGCTCTTGTCATGAATCCCATGTAATTATAATTTGCTACTTGTCAATCCTTACTTATGCTATAGATTATAAGGACGCGGATTTTCATGTGAGAATGATATTGTAATTTCAGTTGGATCAGTTTTTGGATAGATTCTATGGATCATTGGGACTATCCAGTGACCCTGTGTGTGTGTGTGTATGTTTCTGGATAGCAGGTACTTACCTTTTAATCAGATTATGAGATGGGTTAATATTGCCCCCAATAATTTTGGTGAAACTCACCCTTCAATTCTGTACTGATGAAAACAAATACACACACACACACACACACACACACACACACACACACACACACCCCCCAAAAAGCTTGTGCTTCTAAAGAGGAATTCCGCAGAGAGAAGCTAAACTGTACAGTGGAGAAGAATTTATATTTTCACCTTATTACTCTATCTGAGGCAGTTAGAAAAGATGAAAAGTAACAAGATCTATGACCTGGGGTCACATTTTGAAGAAGGCTGGGAAGAAGTCAGAGAGAAGAAGTCCTCTAGTGCCAGACTGTGTTCCAGCCAGCACAGAGCTCTGCTTTTAGAAAGGGCATACACTGTTTAAGTGGAATGTAATCAAATGTATACTATACAACAAATACTATATAATCTAATGTATATATTATAAATTGCATATATACCATTATGGCATTGTATAATAGTGTATGTATAACCCCTGCAAACTTGTTCAGAGGTTTTGAAAGATGAACATACAGGAATAATGAAGGAAGAAAAATGAAGAGGGGATTCCTAACGTAACAACCTGATTAATCTATCCATCTGGATGTCTTCTGGCAAACTTATTTTCACTTTTAATTCTGCCTTTTAAGGTCTAAAATGGTAGGTAATTCAAAGGACATTAATACTTGACTTAGGAAAATGTTTGTATTATTACATATATGAATCAGTGCATCAGTGTGGAAATTTTACACCGTAAAGAATGGAATAAGGTAGCATGAAGCCTAAGTGAAGAGGAGCCAGATTGCTGCCTTTCGAATTTGTCCTGGTTCCTTGCACTGTCTGCTGGTCAGTTTCCTCCTCATAAGGATGGGAGCCAGAAATGTGAGCTGTGTTACGAATCCTGCCTATTGCCCTTTATGTCACTCTCCTGAGACACATCAGTAATGAGTGGAAGTGTGTGGCATCAGGTCTTCCTGAATGGCCACAGCTGCCAGACCCTGTTCCAAGGGCCTCCCTTACCTCACTTGAATCTTAAAAGAGCTTTTATGAAACTTATTATCTCATTTTACAGTGGAGGAAACTGAGTGCTAAGGAGATAAAATGGCCTAAATTTGCGTCACTCACAAGTGGCCTCACTGGAACTAAAACCTGAGTCTCTCTGACTTGGAAATCTGTGTTCATGGGTGTCATGTTGTCGAACTCCCCCTACTGAGACCTACATCATTCTGTCATTGTTCTTCAGTGTGTGGCCTGCAGCCCTCCTGCTTTCAGAATATTGCAGGGAGGCTGATGAAAATCTAAACTCCTGCCAAGAACTTGCCCCAAAGAGAGTGTGAATCAGAGTCACCGAGCTTGAATCTTTTTAACAAGCTCTCTGGGAATCTGTATGTTTCCTCTGGACCATACTAACTGATTAAAAAAACTCAGCTCTACACTGTCTTATTCCTATGCCCAAGGGGTGATGATATCACAAGTTCTTCCTTTCTTCTTGGTAGCATTTGACTCTGACCTCCCTTCTTGAGTCTCTTCGCAGCCTTTTGTATTTTCTTCTGATGTTCCTCTTGCTCTGCTATCCATTGCTCCTCGTCTTTTCTAATCTCTCTCCTTCTGCCTGCAGTTCCTTGGGCTGCTGTCCATGGCTCTTTTCCTCCTGCAGCTGTGACTACTGTTGTTTAGTGAAGCCTTGCAACTTACTCTTGCTTCTCACACCCAAATCTCACCTGAATTTCAGTATCTTGTTTTTATGGATGTTATTATAAATCCATGGATGCCTGTATATTCTTCAGGCCTTAAATTCAGTATGCCAAATGACAAACTCATCATCCTCTCCCCACACCCTCCCTCTGTCATCATGTTCCCTAGAACAGTCCATGCTGTCACCGCTCAGTCTTCTGGGCTCAAAATTCAAATTGTATTCATGCTTCCCTTTTCCTTACAACTTCCATTCAACAGCCAGTCATCAAATCTGTTATTTCCACCTCAGAAATGCCATCTGAATCAGTCATTCTGTTCTCCATTCTCAGTGTGCGCCGTCCTCTCCTACCTGATACTTTGGATTCCATATTAGACTCCTCACCGTTCAGCCATCCCCTACATCCAGTATCTTTTCCACACTGCACCAGAAATTTTTAAATAATAAACATAGTTGAACTTCTCATTCCTCACTTAATAGGGCTTTTGGTTCCCTATTGCCTGCAATTTAAGGTCAGATTTCTTGAAGCTTATCCTAATCTGACCTCATCCTGTGTCAACCAACTCTCCTCCTCACCACAAACCCTATTTTATGGCTAAACCAAACTCCTTCACCGAGTCAGTGTAAAACCACACTATCTGGGTTCATTGGCCCCACTGCTTAGTAACTCTGTGTGCCTCAGTCTTCTTACCTATAAACCTGGAACAGTAATAGTGCCTACTTCAAGGTAGTTGAACATGGGAAGAGGGAATTCATGGGCAACGCAGATGCCTGGCACATGTTGCGGCTGCCTCTACTGTGGTCATCATGATGGCAAGGATGTAACAGCTTCCCCCAGAAAGGATTAAAGGAAGTGTTTATTGTTATTGGAGATGCCTTAGAAATCTGTGGCCATAGCAAAATAAAAGTATTTTCCTATAGAAAGCCCGGATCCACTCTGTAAGGTACTAGACTTAGCTGCCTCATGACATTTCTGTTCTCTCCAGTGTTCCCACTAGTGAATGCCACTAAGACTTGGACATATAACATTCCCCAGACTGGCGGCAGCACCTTTGTTAGCAGTAAGGAATGTGCTCTACTGCAGTTCTGCGGGTACATCATTTTGCCACTTGAATGGATGGTGGAGCAGGCTATGCCGGGGCTACACCTTGGCTGATTGAATCAGGTTCCAGACATAGGTGGATCTCCTAAGTGTAACTGAGGGACGTTCCTTGTATCACTTTAAGGCACCCCAAAGTAAACAGAGGCCCGTAGAGTCAGAAATCTGGTTCCTGACCACTGTCACATAGTGGGCAACATGATAACCGATATTATTTAGACTGGAATTTTAAAATTTAGCAAAATGTTTGTAGAAACTTTAATTCTTATGAAACTGATGCAGATATATTTGGATGTTGTTTTTAGCTTGATGACTATGGTCCTGGAAAGAGAAATATAAATTGTAGTGTTTCTTAGCAGAGGCTACCATTGAAAACAACTCTGCAATATTATTTCAGATTACATTCTCACTTATTAGTTTTTATTTATGAGAATATTGCTTTAAAGTAGAACACACTTTTATTAGCTATGGTACTTTCTTAGTCAAAAGGATACATTTTTCTTAGAAAATTGTACTGTTAAAGCGGTAAATGGGAATAAGTAGTAGAAAGTAGTGTTTAATTTTTAGGGGGGAAAAAAGCTGTAAAGTAGAAACACAAATTGGAGAAACCAATAGGAACCAGTCTATTAGACAATTAGACAGTTGATTATCAGAATGATAAATATGTTTTATTTTTTGTTTTATTTTTTTTTTATTTTTTCAAGTGTGGTATGTTTCTGATTCTCATCATTAGAATAAGAAATAATATTTAAATGGATTCCCAAACAAGTATTCCAGTTACATACACACACACACACACACACACACGAAATTAAAGGTACACATCTAATGGTAAGACATACATACATTTGGTCTGAACAAGGAAGTGAATAACAAGCAATGATGGGTTTCTGTAGCACCTGAAGTTTATAGCATACTTGCCTAATGTGATGAGGTAAAAAGAACTCTGGGTTTTAATCCAAAGAACTAAATTTCAGTGGTTGCTTTTCCACTTATTATCTGTGTGAGTTTGAGAAAATCCTCTAACTGCCTAGAGTTTTGGATTTCTTCTCTGCGAATTGGATGTAATAGAGTTCCTTTGAGGATCAAAAAATAATGTGCATACAAAGCCATTGGAAATTATAATGCATTCTACAGATTTCAGAGATTAGAGAAATAGAGATTTTAGAAATTACTCAGGTATTTCAGAGATTATTTTAGAACTGAAATATACCTATTCTCAGAAACGAGAAGGGCAGCGCTGCCTCGGGCGTCGGAGTCCACACGCAGGCAGGGCCCTCGGCGCTGGACTTGGCTGTTTCTGGACCAAGGTTGAGCATGAATACCAGGGCTCAGCTCTATTAAATCATAACCTAAACGGACTATAAAAGAACTTTAAAACCACCTAATTATTGAGTTATCTTAAGAAGAAATGCTAACATTACAAAGCAAAGCTTATATATAAATATTTTTTAATGCAGGTAATGAATTTGGGCATCCTGAATGGTTAGACTTCCCAAGAAAAGGAAATAATGAGAGTTACCATTATGCCAGAAGGCAGTTTCATTTAACTGATGATGACCTTCTTCGTTATAAGTTTCTAAATAACTTTGACAGAGATATGAATAAATTGGAAGAAAGATTTGGTTGGCTCTCAGCACCACAGGTAAGCTCTTCACTCCAAATATTATGTTTTAGTCACCAATGTTATACGTGCTCAGAAAGGCAGTAATTTAAATCTATAAGCTGGTCTTTTAAACGGCACTTTATTATTCAGTGTGTAGTGCCCTATAACATACTTCAGGTTGTCAAAACATATTATTGCAGTCTCTCTGATAGATAATGAAAATTTTAAACATAATGCCCTACTTACTTTCCTGTTTAGTTTGTTGTTGTTGTTTGAATTTAGTAATTTTTATTTCATTTTGTTAAAATAAATGACAAAAGCTCTGCATGGAATTTATTTTGGAAATTGCTGTGGAAACATCTTAATTGTTTTGACTTTTCTTTATATAAATAATGATGCTGTAATAAAAAAAATTACTTTGACAACATGTAGATTTCTTTATTTTTATATTTTCTTTCTTTACTGGTCTCTAACTTGTCATTTCAATTGATGCTATTATACCTGCATGCCTTTTGTATTTTTCATGAGCTTGACTCTCCTCTGGAATTAAAGACTCAGTTTTCAAAAATGTAATTAACAAGTGCAAATTTTATGCAGGCTTTCTTCTTCCTCCTTGCAAAAATTAGCATATAGTATGTGTTACTTATAATCCACTTACTTTTTACTGGTGCTGTTTGAAATTACTGTTGATGTGTTTTTAGTTTGGTGTCCATGATTTTTTTTTTTAATGGTTGAATAAAAGTACTTATATATTCAGTAAGATTGGCTGCATGACATGAATGCCCTACTCACTCACGTTTATTAGTGATGCCGTTTCCAGAAGAGAGAGCAAAATGATGCTCCTTTTCAATAGGAACAACTATGAATACCAAAAGGCATGCTGTTTATTCTGGAACCTTAGTTCCCATTTCTAAATTACCAAGAGTGGTGCTGCCACCTGCATGGAAATAAGTTCTTGCAAACCTGGGAGTAGAGGGAGGCGGTGAAGGAAGCCAAGGCTCCTCACTGCCTGCGGTAAACATGCGTGAAATGAGGAGGTGTGCAGGCATCATTTCTTTTCAGACCTTCTCTTTTATTAGGCAGATATATATTGTAAAGGACTTTGTGTCACGATTGAGTCTGACAAATTTATGCAATAATGCAAAATTTTTCAGATAACTGCAATGCAGACATCTCAGTATAATAATAATGTTACATTAAATTTGAAAAGTAATTGTATATGTCTTAACTCATTCATCTGGAACTAAAACAAAAGTCTTAAAGAAAACCCACTTATTAATAGATCCACTCTATCTACACAAACACTTTATAGACACCACAGGTACCCTGTTAATACTTCAAACCTCAGCACTATCATCTATGCTTTGTTTGAAGTTGGTGATGGCTGGTGAGGTTTTTATACTCTTTAAATAGTTTTTGAGACTGTTAATTGGCTTAGAGTTTTATATGGGAAAAATTACAACATGGTCAAAAGATATGTGCTGTCATTTTCATTTTTGACGTAAAAGTAACAAAGCTATTAATAAAGACAAAAACAACTTTTTTAATAAATAATTTACTTGTGGCAGCATCTAGGTATTATTTAAATGTTTGTGCTTGTTCAATCTTGCAGGCCTATGTGAGTGAAAAGCATGAAGACAATAAGGTCATCACTTTTGAGAGAGCAGATCTTCTTTTTATTTTCAACTTTCATCCAAGCAAGAGCTACACTGATTACCGAGTCGGAACAAAATCACCAGGAAAATATCCTTTTTGTTGTCAGTGAATATAACTATCTACACTCAGCTTTTTCTTTTTCTTTTTTTTTTTTTTTTTTTTACATCCTAGAGAGGAAGAAAACTAATGCTGGTCTTGGCGTCAATAGCTCTCAGTTTATGTGTCTGAAAAATGAGGGACTTGAAATAGTTGACTAATAAATCTTTGCTCAGCTCAGTAATACTGAACTAATCCTAAGTTTCCTTCTGGCTCTGAAAAGTGTGATTCTGGACATTTAAAAAATATTTTGATCCAGTATGCAGTACAGGAGACAAATGTAGTTTTCCTTATGAACATCTTTTAGAAATTGCCTGTGAGAATTGTCTTTCTTCCCCTTCTCCACTGAGTGAGACAGCAGACAATAGTTATAAAGAGAGCTCCCTTTCCTTTTCTCTTTCCTCTTTCCTGTCTCCTCTAATGCAGTGCATGCTCACGTTTGTAGGTCTGCATAGGTAGAGTCAGGGTGGAGGAGTGTGTGCAAAGGAAGTGGCAGGGAGAGGTTTTTGATATCCTCTCTCTCTTCATTTCCACATCCATTCATTTCACAGACACTTACTGACACCTGTGAGCCAGGCAGCCATGTGCAGGTGCTGTAAATACAGGCATTTTCTTGGCACACACAGTCACTGCCCTCATGGAGCTTTTAAATTAGTGAAGAAGAAAAATTTAGTAATTGCAAGTTGACGACTGTTACAAAAGGAAAATTACAGTGTATTTTAGGAGATTATAACTCACCAAATCCTTGAGGGGGGGGGAGGAGACAACTTTGGGACCTAGCCACAAAAGCAGCACAAGTTTTTAAGTAGGGAGTGAAATAATGTTCTAATCCTCTGGAGCCATAACCATGATTAATGTCTGCCACCGGAGCAAGATGTCTGATGCCAGTGTGAAGTCCTACATGTCAGGATCTTTGTAACTACAAGAAGATAAACTCACTTGTTCAAGTGGCTAGAACAGTAAGGGATATGTATTTTCCACATAATAAAAGCTCCGAGGTAATGTGATGCCAACACTGTGACAATATCATCAAGTTCCCTGATTCATTGTCTTTCTGTTTTCAGCTTGCATGGTGTCAGCAAGGTCCAAACCCTAGTGCCTGTTCTGTTGCAAGGCAACAGCCATGTGTCCATACATCACCTTCAGATACAACAGAAGGCAAATAGGTATTCTTTTTTTGTGCCTTTTTTAAGAAAGAGGTTACTTTAGAAAATTTTCTTTTGTGTCGTGTATGTACAAAAAGACATATAGAAAATCAATGTGATAACATTATCTGTACTAGGAAAAAACTGCTCTGTTGCAGGAGGCAAATGTTCTCACCCTCAACGTTTCTTTGAAAACTGCAAGCAAATACTAGAGCTGTAACAGCTCATATATGACCTTTCTCTGCTCCAGACTGCTAAAACAAGGCTCTTAGACTACATCTGCCTACACCTAACAATGCAATATAATAACAATATAATTTTGATTATAATCACATTAAAATATAATCAAACCAAAATACATTTACAGAACACTTGGAATCTAATGCAGTATTTTTTAAGCACTCTCCTAGACCCTTAAGTGGGGGAGAAGAGATACATAAAACCAAACTATTAAGTAAGGCATAATACAATAAATGGGAAGGAAACAGGAATCTTCTAAGGGAAAAAAGAGGACCAGAAAAGAAAAAAAATAAATGAAGTTGATTGATTGATTGATTGATTTAAGCCTGGTTGGGGCGGGGGAGAGTGAGGGAGCAAGAGAGAGTGAGAGAGATTGATTACTTGATTACTTGCTTAATTGATTAAGGAAATGATTTTTTAGCCTAGACCATGAGAAATGAATAAAATTATAGTAGAAAATTTTGAGGAAGGCCTTTTCTGCTGTAGGAAAGCAGAGATGTCCTTAGGTCATGGACAGCACAATGGATTAACTGGAGAATGATGATCATAAAAAAAAATACTAAGCCATGGACTGAAAAGATAAATCGAAATCACATAATACATTTCAATTTCATATTAATTAGTTTAGGCTTTCTTCAGTTGTTTGTAGGGAGTCGCTGAAGGTTTTGAGCTGGAGAGCTATTTGGTAAGATGTATGCTTTAGGACATCTCGTGTACCCAGTGTGTAGGAGAGCTTTCTTAGGATAGAGATTGGAAGTACAGGTATTACATATGTGAAATTGCAGTACACATTAAAGATAATTAATGCATAAACTAAGGTAATGTCAATAGAATACAAAGAGGTATGTGAAGCCCTTTCTTACAGTGAAAGAACTCAGCAACTGTTTGGACATTGGGAATAGAAGAGAAAATACAAAGTTTCACCTTTTTAAAAATTTGATTTTAGAGAGGGTGGAAAAGAGAGAGAGAGAGATCTATGTGAAAGAGATATGTGACAGAAATACATTGATTGGCTGCCCCCCTGGACTAGGGATGGAACCTGCAACCTAGGTATGTGCCCTGACCTGGGAATCAAACCAAAGACCTTTTGGTAAAATGACAGTAATCCAACCAACTGAGCCACACTGGCCAGGGCTAAAGTATCCCTTTTAACAATGGCAAGAATTGATGCTATTCTTGAGTGAGAAAAGCAAGGAGGAATAGCTAGCTAGGGGAATAGAAAATGTGACAAAGGAATTTCAATAGTGATGTTAGAAGAAGAAGCTTGGCCCCAAGCAGCATTGATCTCCTGTCTGAATCTGTGTAACTTTAGTAAATATTATTATATGAAAACATACAATTACATAGTACAACACACCCAAAAGTTAATTTTATTTAGTCATATGAAGTTACTCAATACATGAAAGTCCAGTTTGGTTTTGAGGAAACTTGACATAAATTGAGTCTTCTGAAATTTAGTGATTTGTCTAAATGTCTATAGGCAGAAACTCTTCACAGTAATAATCTGAATGCTTCACATTATTGACCCCTTTCAAAAACTACTCATTAAAAGCTGTATCAACATGGACACCTTGGAAAATTGGGCCAGGTCTTCCTGAAAGTAGTAGTTGAAACTTCAGTCACCTGTTGGATCTATAGGAGAACTTGTAAGAAAAAGTATTGGTTATTTTTCTACAAGGGCTTTGTTTTGTAAGGATTTATGGCCACTTGGACCTTATTCACTCCTGTAGCCTTTCTTATTCCTGTCTTTTTTGTCAACAGGCTATAGCTCATCACAATATGTTATTGCTTCCTTGGGGGACATTTGCATTTTAATAACAGCCTCTTTGCACACTCAAGAATTATGTAAAACCTAATGGATTGAGATAGTTAATGGACTAGTTTCTTTGTGATGAGGATTTTTGTTTCAAGGGAGTGAAGCAGGAAAGCACTGCCAGTGTACTTGAAACCACACCTTCCAAATAATTATATGTTCATTGTGCCAGCTCAGACTCTTAGGTAGAAATCATAAAATCTCCTGTGTTTTGTGATGTTCTCAACTCCAGTGACCTAGTTCAATGCAGATATTTCATCTGTAAATTCCTCCACAAATAATAACTAACCATCATTTAGAACATTTTCCAGTTCTAGGAATCTTACTATTTCACAAGGTAAGCAATTCAAGTTTGTTTTGTTTTTTAATTTTTTTAAAATTGTCTTAAATGTAAATTAAATTAGTTTTCTATTTCTGAAGCTTGCTATGTATGCCAGCTATAAAAATCAGAAAGGCATTTCACATGCTCCTTATAGGACAGCCCCTAGTCATTCTTCTTCAGACTAAATTTCTCTCATTTCTTTAATAGATTCTCATGCTACTTCTCAGACCTCATACCATCACGTCTCCCTTATCACGGTGCACCCATCATTGTTCATATACATGTGTGCAGAATGAAAACACAGGATTCTAAGTGTGGTCTGGCAAGTAGGACGTCGAGTGGTGCACCACGTCCCGGTACCTTGGCAGTGTTCTCTTATTAAATGCCGTTAGCTTAACTGGCAGCCAGCACGTTTTCCGCTCATATCATACTTACATTCAGATAAAAATCCTTAGTGTTTCTTTATGTGTATTAGTTGTGTTGTATCTCCATTATTCTTTAGTCAGTAAATAATTTTAACCTAAAACTCCAAATTTAATATGAAACAAGAAGAAACATATATATACGGTTTTGCCTGTAATCTGTTAATGGAGAAGATAAAAGAATCCTAGAGTAGAACAGTTCTGTTATTAATCTGTTATGATTGTACCATGAGAAGGCAATAAATCTATTCTTTCAACTTCTTGTTGTTCTAAGCTTAGCTTTCAGAGTCCTTTTATTATCTTAGCATTTTTTAAATCTCATTTTGCTTTGGCCTTTCATCTTTATGACTTTATTCTTATAACTTTAAACAACATTGTAGGTCAACATGATAGAATCATTTTAGATACAGAAATTACAGAAAAATTAGGCTTTTTTTTTTTTTTTTACTGTATTTCCTGACTTGAACAAAGTGTTCTATTCCACTGGTATTTCCAACCACTGAGCCAGTGAATTGAATACAGATTTTCCCTGTGAAGAATCCACAGTGGCAAGATTGGATGTATTAATCAAGTCAAGAAATTCATCAAATTTTTAATTCCCTGGAAAGCAGGATTTGGTGCCAGAACAAATTTAAAGTTTCTAAAGAAGTTTGAACTTCTGTCACTGTGAAATATAAACCTGCAGTAGAAACATGTCGGAATTCTTGAGCAGTTCCATTTTTTTGAACCCATATATCCTGCATATCAAATAGCAAGACATCAACTGTCACTCAAATCTGTGAAGAATAGGTGATGGCTGTCTTCCCAAGCAACTGTTGTAAGGGAAGTTATTTTGGGGGTAATGCTAGGCAAGGTAGACACAACACTTTAAGGATGTTTTTAACTATCACTTCAAAATAAGTTGATGTATTTGGAGAGCTAAGTGGGAAGTCCGATTTGTATCACTAAAGTTTTGAATGTAGTCTTCATGGTGACGGCTGAAGGATATAGTATTGTATCTGCAAGAAGAATCTACAGCCATATTCTGGAAAAGAAACAACAGCAACAAA